GGGTCAAACTCTATGCTTAAAAAACTTGACAGCGTTCTTAAAATTAATGCACATGAACAATTAATGAATTGCAAAATAACACTTAATAGGTCCCTGGTAAACTTTAACTGTAAGTTTCCTTGGCCATATCAGTTTATCTTTCAACTGATTTGCCTGCCTCCTATGTCCAAAATGCTGGTCATTCAAATAAGTACAATTTCAAGATCCACCTCTTTCATCTATGCCCCTTTACATGTACGATGAAGGCAATCTTATATTCAATACTCTGAAGGTTTTGAGTACAGCAATTTAACTGTCACTCACAAGTAGAAGGTGAATCTGCTTGAGAAATTGCCAAAATGCACAAAAAATAAGTCGATTAGAATTTGGCTTTCTAAAACACCTTATAATTGTTTAGGAGCTTACACAAGAAAATTCAGTGTCCTCCTAACACAAAAACCCCTATTTTTCCGAAGTACCAAAAAGCTGAAAGCATTAAACCGTAACCTCATCTGAAGATCTGACCTACAAATTTTATTTTATTTTTTGCACAGGTGTGAATTCAATTTAGTTATTTGTGCTGTTAATACAAATTCTATATATAAATTGCTATTGTTAATAAAATTACAAGAACTTTCACTTATATTTTTTGCTTTAGTTTGTGAAGGCAGTGTAGCAGCACTGTTAGCCTACTGTTAGGGTATGTCTACACTTACCGGGTAGTTCGACGGCTGGCAATCGAAGTTCCGGGTTCGATTTATCGCGTCTGGTCTGGACGCGATAAGTCGAACCAGGAAGTGCTCGCCGTCGACTGCGGTACTCCAGCTAGACGAGAGGAGTACCGCGGAGTCGACGGGGAGCCTGCCTGCCGCGTGTGGACCGCGTCTGAACCGCGGTAAGTTCGAAGTAAGGTATGTCGAATTCAGCTACGTTATTCACGTAGCTGAATTTGCGTACCTTACTTCGACTTGGGGGGTAAGTGTAGACCAAGCCTAAGTAGGCAATGAACCAATATTATTATTATTTATCATTTGTATTATCATTGTGCTTAAGAGCCCTAGTCTTGGACTGGGGTGCCCCATTGAGTTAGGTGCTGCACAACTACAGAACAGAAAGATAACCCATGCTCCAAACAGTTTTCTATCTAAGTATTGATACCTCTCAAAGAGGTGTCTTATCAGGAATACAATTAACATGTTACACTATCACATAAACATCCCAACAAATCCCTTGTAGTCCATTTAGCATAACAGACCAACTATCAGACTGGGGGATAAAATGAAGCAATACTGACTATAGTTCTTCAAACTATAAAGCTCTAACATTTATTTTTCCAGTAAAGTATTTTTACCAGAAAAATTGTCTCTTCATTCCACACTCTCTTCTTGAACAAATAAATCAGTATATAGTAGGGGTGTCAATTAATTGCAGTTAACTCACACAATTAACTCAAAAAAATTAATCGCAATTCAAAAAATTAATCGTGATTAATCGCAGTTTTAATCGCACTGTTAAACAATAGAATACCAATGAAATTTATTTAATATTTTTGGATGTTTTTCTACATTTTCAAATATATTGATTTAAATTACAACACAGAATACAAAGTGTTCACTGCTCACTATATTATTTTTATTACAAATATTTGCACTGTAAAAAATGAAAAAAGAAATAGTATATTCACCTCATACAAGTACATAATGCAATCTCTTTATTGTGAAAGTGCAACTTACAAACGTAGATTTTTTTTTGTTACATAACTGCACTCAAAAACAAAACAAATCCAAACTTTAGAGCGTACAAGTCCACTCAGTCTACTTCTCGTTCAGCCAATCGCTAAGACAAACAAGTTTGTTTACATTTATGGGACATATGTCTTCTGGAATGGTGGTTGAAGATGAAGGGACATATGAATCTTTAGCACATTTGTCACGTAATTATCTTGAGACGCCGGCTACAACAGTGCAATGAGAACGGCTGTTCTGACTTTCAGGTGACATTGTAAACAAGAAGCAGGCAGCATTATCTCCCATAAATGTAAACAAACTTTTTTGTCTGAGTGACTGGCTGAACAAGAAGTAGGACTGAGTGGACTTGTAGACTCTAAAGTTTTACACTGTTTTATTTTTGAATGCAGGGTTTTTTGTACATAATTCTTCATTTGTAAGTTCAACTTTCATGATAAAGAGATTGCATTACAATACTTGTATGAGGTGAATTGAAAAATACTATTTCTTTTGTTTTTTACAGCACAAATATTTGTAATCAAAAATAAATATAAAGTGAACACTGTACACTTTGTATTCTGTGTTGTAATTGAAATCAATATATTTGAAAATATAGAAAACATCCAAAAATATTTAAATAAATGGTATTATTATTAACAATGCAATTAATCGTGCGATTAATTTTTTTAATCGCTTGACAGCCCTAATATATAGTAATACTTATCATCATAATACCTACCTCTACATATGACAAAAGCCATTTAAAATTGGAGAATTGAGCCCTTCTAAACAGTAGGATTTTTTTCCCTAAAATTTCCCACCATTGCAACCACCACTGTGCCATTTGTGGTAACAATGGTGGGCACACTAGTGTAGAAAATGTACCATATCATGTTGATTCATCCTGAACTGGCTTAGACATCGTGGTACTTAAAATACTGGTGGTTACCTGGAGCCCTGTCCACACTAGCAGTCCCTCTACAACAGAAGTGGGCAAACTATGGCCCGTGGGCCACATCCTGCCCACCGGACCGTTCTGCCTGGCCCCTGAGCTCTTGGCCCGGGAGGCTAGCCCCCTGCCCCTCCCCTGCTGTCCTCCCTCCCCCGCAGCCTCAGCTCACTCGCTCCGCCTAAATGGTCTGGGCAGCAGAGCTGTGAGCTCCTGGGGCAGTGCAGCTGCAGAGCCCGGCCTGACCCAGTGCTCTGAGCTGCGTGGTGGTGGCGGCGTCGGCGTGGCCCGGCTCCAGTCGGGCTGCACGGCTGTAGCGCCGCCAGCCACCAGTGCTCCAGGCAGCGCGGTAAGGGGGCACGGAGCAGGGGGGGTTGGATAGAGGGCAGGGGAGTTTGGGATGGTGGTCAGGGGGCGGGGATGTGGATAGGGGTCGGGGGGAACAGGGAGTTGAATGGGGGCAGTCAGGGGACAGGGAGAAGGGGTGGTTGGATGGGGCAGGGGTCCCGGGGGGGGCCCATCAGGAATGAGAGGGGTTGGATGGGGCTTGCGGAGGTCCGGGGCTTGCGGAGGTCCGGGGGCGGTCAGGGGACAGGGAACGGGGGGGTTGGATGGGGCAGGAGTCCGGGGGGGGGGGGCAGATAGGAGGTGGGGGCCGGGCCAGGACCCTCTCCCCTAACTGGCCCTCCACACAATTTACGAAACCCGATGCGGCCCTCAGACCAAAAAGTTTGCCCGCCCCTGCTCTACAACTACCATTAGCAGAATTAAACTGCTTGTAGTAATGGTGGAAATTTTTACAACGAAGATGTAGTGTGGACACATAGGAGAGGCTACTGCCTGGTTTGCAGCCATGCACCCTTTGAACAAAAAGTACCCCAGGAAAGTAACAGCCCTATACTCTGTATTATGCTATAATACTTTAGGTCATTATTATAGAATAATTGTACATAGTGAGAGGACACACCTCAAAATTATTTGCTTGTAGGACTCTCCTTTTTTCAAAAACAGTGAACTGTTCTGGCAATTATGTGCCATCAATAGGCATGTATAGATATAGTCCTCTCTCTTCAACCCCCCGTTTAAGTAACTAGGGTTCTGATCCTGCAAATACACATGAGAGTAGCTTTACGGATGTGAGTTGTCTCCAAACTGAATGGGACTGCTCAGGTGCCTAAATACACGCAGGATCAGACTTTACTTACATTACTCACTAATCTCTCTTCTTCACCACAGCACCTCCTGCTATCTACTGTACTGCTAGCCCATCCCCAGCAGCTCAGCATTCTCGGAGTCCCCTGACACAGGATACCAGGCACAACAGACTCACACCAAAAGGGACTGAACAAACTGGAAAGACCTTTTCACCCCTTTCCTCACTCACCAAAAAAACTTGTTTGTTGATATACTGTTGTGGTTTACAAAAGACTATTCTAAAGGTACTTACTGTCATCCCCAATGCCATCTCCCCCCAGCTGCCCCTCATTACCATTGCCAAGTCACTGTAGTGATGGGCACTAGAAATTTGGATGCAGCACTCTCCTAAAGCCCCATCAATCGCCATTTCCACACACACCATTACCCAGCACCTACCCTATTCCCATCCCAATATCCAGCCCCCAACCCTCACGCTATCTCCTATCCTTATTCCCCTCACTGCCCATCCCCAGCCTCCCCTTCCCATCCCAATCCCCCTCCCCAGTCCTCCTCACTGCCC